AATGTTCATATAGGTGCTGTTCATAGTATGTCCAAAACAGCTCAAATATCAACAGAATAATAAACACAATGAAATATTATATAGTAGTAAAAATTAGTGAACACTAACACAACATGGATGAACCTTAGAAACATAATGTTGAGTGAAAAAAACAAACACAGAAGGCTACATAAAATATGAGATCAATTTTATAGAACTCAATAATAAGCAAAATCACATATATAGTTTAACAAAACATAAAAACTAAGTGAATGTTGAACATAAAAAAAGTTATTTGTCAGTTATTTGTTTGATGAAAGCAGGAAGGTGGGATCAGAGTAGAGCACAATGATTCAGCAGTTTAGATTCTAATTCTTAGTTTTAGTGGTGTGTTTGTAGTATATTTTATTATTATATCTCATAACTTAATATATTTGAATATATTCTTTTGTGTGCATTAAGTATCATATAATAGTATTTTTAAAGTTAAAATCCCCAGGGTGCCTTGTGTGGCTCAGTCGGTAAAGTGCATTTGGCTCAGGTCATGATCCCAGGGTCCTGGGATGGAGCCCCATGTTGAGCTCCCTGCTCAGCAGGGAGTCTAGTTCTCTTTCTGCCCCTCCCTCCGCAGCTCATGCTGTCTCTCTCTCTCTCTCTCTCTCTCTGTCTAAAGTAAGTAAATAAAATCTTTAAAAAAAAAAAAAAAAGTTAGGCGCCTGGGTGGCTCAATGGGTTAAGCCTCTGTCTACGGCTCGGGTCATGATCTCAGGGTCCTGGGATCGAGTCCCGCATCGGGCTCTCTGCTCAGCCTGCTTCCTCCTCTCTCTCTCTCTCTGCCTGCCTCTCTGCCTACTTGTGATCTCTCTCTGTCAAATAAATAAATAAAATCTTTAAAAAAAAAAAGAGTTAAAATCCCCTATGTACCAAAGATAACCCCTAGTCATTAATTATAGAGAGGGAGTCTGCTTTGACACACATAACTATTTACTTATTAATCTTTTAAAGTTGAAATCATCCAACTATGAAAGTTTTCCCTCTTCTTATGAGTACTTTATTTTCTATAAAGAGACCTACTACTTTGGGGCAATTTTCTGTCTTTATTTAACTGATAAGTAGCCCTGTGGCTGCCAGGAATTTTAAAAACAACTGATAACTGGAATCTCCTGCCCCAAGAGAATACAAAAAAAAGGTGGAGTGGTGGAGGTATTCTCATACATTATTGATAAATACATACAAAGATAAAAATGTTAGAAAGCTATTTCCCTAACTAGGAACTTAGTTTTATTAATAAGTACATTGGAATATCATACATTATTAAAAAACCAAAATAATCAAATATGAGTAGATTTCCTCTTATTTTGCAGTGAGTTCCTGGACTATTTTATTTTATTTATTTTATTTTTTTAAGATTTTACTTATTAATTTGACAGAGAGAGATCACAAGTAGGCAGAGAAGCAGGCAGAGAGAGAGAGAGAAGGAAGCAGGCTCCCTGCTGAGCAGAGAGCCCAATGGGGGGCTCGATCCCAGGACCCTGGCATCATGACCCGAGCCAAAGGCAGAGGCTTTAACCCACTGAGCCATCCTGGGTGCTATTTTAGATTGTTACTTAATCTTCATATCTGAGAGACAGAAAGAGAGACATTGTGTGTGTGTGTGTGTATTTGGTTTCGTGGAAGCTGCATTATGTGAAAATTTATTTTTTTTAATTAAATGGCTTTTATTGTCCCTTAGGAATGCAAAAGACAGCAAAAGCAGATTACAGAGAAGTAGCTAATGCAGTACTATGGCTATACCTGTGGAAAAGTATAAACAACTTTAGAATTTAATGATTTTGAAATTGTCCTTACCTTGTCATTATAAAAATGCTCCAAAAATCATGTTTTGCAAATAATATGGCACAGAAGTTTATGAGGGGATTTTCTGTCTATATGTGAGTCATTTAATAGTATGTCTAATGTAGGTACTATGCCTAACTGTAATGGGATGATATATAAATGATGAAAACTAGAGAGATTCTCTACAAAGCCGTAGTAATCAAAACAGCATGGTACTGGCACAAAAACAGACACATAGATCAATAGAACAGAACAGAGAGCCCAGAAATAAACCCACATTTATTTGGTTAATTAATCGTGCACAAAGCAAGAATAGCAATGGGAAAAAGACTGTCTCTTCCATAAATGGTGCTGGGAATTGGACAGCTACATGTAAAAGAATGAAACTGGACCACTTTCTTATACCATATACCAAAATAAACTCAAAGTGGATTACAGACCTAAATGTGAGCCTGAAACCATAAGAACCCTAGAAGAGAAAACGGGCAGTAATTTCTTCAACAGCTGCAGCAACACTTTTCTAGATATGTCTCCTGAGGCAAGGGAACAAAAGCAAAAATAAACTATTGGAACTACATCAAAATAAAAAGCTTTTGCATAGCAAAGGAAACCATCACCAAAACAAATAGGCAACCACTGAATGGGAGAAGATATTTGCAAATGATATATCCAACAAGGGGTTAATATCCAAAATATATGAAGAACTTATACAACTCAATACCAAAAAGACAAGAATCTGCAGCACCTGAATGGCTCAGTCAGTTGAGCAATTGCCTTTGGCTCAGGTCATGACACCAGGGTCCTGGGATTGAGTCCCACATCGGGCTCCTGGCTCAGCAGGGAGTCTGCTTCTCCCTCTGCCCCTCCCCTGCTTGTGCTCTCCCTCATGCTCTTCCTCGCGCTCTTTCTCTCTCTGACAAATGGATAAATAAAAAGTTTTTTTTTTTTAAATTAAAAAACAAAACAACAATCCTATAAAAAAATGGGCAGAGGACTAGATAGACATTTTTCCAAAGAAGACATACAGATGGCAAACAGACACATGAAAAAATGTTCGACATCATAATAATCATCAGGGAAATGTAAATCAAAACCACAATGAGCTGTCAGAATATTTAAAATCAAAGACAAGAAATCACAAGTTTTCATGAGGATGTGGAGAAAAAGGAACCCTAGTGCATTGGTGGAAATGTAAATTGGTACAGCCACTGTGGAAAACAGTATGGAGGTTACTCAAAAAATTAAAAATAGGGGCGCCTGGGTGGCTCAGTGGGTTAAGCCGCTGCCTTCGGCTCAGGTCATGATCTCGGAGTCCTGGGATCTAGCCCCGCATCGGGCTCTCTGCTCAGCAGGGAGCCTGCTTCCTCCTCTCTCTCTGCCTGCCTCTCTGCCTGCTTGTGATCTCTCTATCAAATAAATAAATAAAATCTTTAAAAAATAAAAAATAAAAAAATAAAAAAAAATTAAAAAAAAAAAATTAAAAATAGGTATACCATATGATCCAATAATTCTACTACTGGGCATTTACTTAAAGAAAACAAAAACACTAATTTGAAAAGATGTGCAGCCTATGTTTATTGCATCATTTTTTCCAGTAACCAATTATGGAAGCAACCTAAGTATCGATCAACAGAGGAAGAAAGATGCAGCACACACACACAAAGGAATATTACACAATTATCAAAAAGGATGAGATCATGCCACTTGAGAAAAAAATGGGTGGATCTAGAGGGTATTATGTTAAGTGAAATAAATCAGACTGAGAAAGACAAATACCATATGATTTCACTCATAAGTAGAATCTAAAGAAACAAAACTAAAACAAGTAAACAAAAAGCAGAATCAGAACTATAAATACATAGAACAAATGATGATTGCCCTAGGAAAGGAGAGTGAAGGCGTGGGTAAAATGAGTGAAAGGGAGTAGGAGACACAGACTTCCAGTTATGAAATAAGTAAGTCACAGGAATTAAAAGCCCAGTATGAGGAATATAAACAATGATATTGTAACAGTATTGTATGATGACAAATGGTAGCTACACTTGTAATAAGGTAACTTATAGAGATGCATAGGGTAACTTATAGAGATGTCAATCACTATGTTGTACATAATGTAACATTGTGTGTCAACTGTACTAAAAAAAAATTTAAACTAGATAAATTCTTCAGCTATATCACCAGTGTGATAGGATTTCATCTCATGGATACTTTTGCCATAGATCCTCACAAATACGGGGTCTGTGTTGGTCTTATAATTATCCTTAGAATCATGGGGACTTATCCATTCTTCCAACAAATTTTATTGCTTACATTCCATGTGTCAGTTACAGTGCTAGGTCCTGAGAATACAGAAGTCAACACACAAGGAAATACAAGGATAAAAAATATTTTCTAACATGTTAACTTTTTTCATTCATTCATCAGTAAGTTATTCCCCAGGAGTCTTATATTGAGTCTGAGTAGGGATCAAGTGATATGCTAAATACTGAGTATGTAACTGCAAATGAAATGGATAGACCCTGATTTTGATGTCACTACTGCCTTTTGTCTTGCCATATAATGAGACATCTTTTATTATTCTTTTTGCCTTAAGTTTTTATCTCAAATTTTGCTAATGAAATATATAAAATTGTTAGTAGGATTTTGACATGCATAAATAAATAAGGTACTCTTTCCCATGCCCCATTTTCCTCCCTTTTAACTCCTATGTGCAGTCACATTTTGCCAAGACCAAAAATAGATGTATCCCAACAAGAATCAAGCTGATTTCCTCACAAAACTAACTGGAGCTGCTCCTCACTTAAAAGACTACTTGATGTCATCATGGCCATTTTTTAAATAAGCAACTAGAAGATCATGAAGACAACCTAGAAAATGACTTGACTTAGGAGAAAGTAACAAAGAGATTTATCTGCTGCTCCACATGTCTAACCTCCTAGGATTAAGCCAGTCACCAAGATCACTACATGTACTAGGCAACAAGGAGCTAAAAATGGAAAAAAAAACATCATACTGTTATTGTATTCATTTTCCTCCAAGGTACTCTCTGATAAACACCACAACTGCCAAGGGAATTGCAAACAGCTTTCTTGTAGGTTATATATCTGTCTTTTTCCAGGTAGTTCTATCCAGCCATCAACACACTTTATTTAAGGTGGTTGAATGTGTGAGATTAGTGTTCCTACCTGATTGGAAACCTTCTTGTCCTTAATTCATTGGCTATACTTGATTTTTTTTTTTTTTTTTTTCCCGTGGATCACACCTTCAGACTTCTACCAGAAACTGCTCCTCTGGGAAAACCAGACCTTCCAGAAACTCAATAACCTGAAATAGAGACAGCGAAAAAAGGGACATTATCTGTACTTAGAGATTTCAATTTTAAAATTTAAGTAAATGTCCAAACGTAGGTCTCCTAAACAGTATAATAACTTAAGGGGAATCTACAGTTTATAGGTTTGAATACTCACAAGTGAACATATTATGACAAGAGTACAGGCTGCATTTTGGGATTTCAATCCAAGCAAAAAAAAATCCAAAAACAAAAAAGCCATTATCCTTTGTCTATTAAACACAAAAGGCAAAAAGGGCAAGTTTTCTTTTTCTTTATAATTTACTTCCTTTCCTTCACAGACCTGTACTCCTGGGGCTAGTAATACATTATATGTTTATAAAAAAATTAAGAAAAAAAATTTACTTCCTTTCTTCAGTCTTCATCTAGATCTTTAGTAAATTATTAATTTGACTAAATTTAATTATTTATAAAATAAACATACAAATTTAACAGAAATATATTTCAGAGACCTTTAATATGTAATATCCATTGCACACATGCACCATGAACTTGTCTTTTCAAGCACTGATGCACACAGAAGTGTCTGTGTCTCAGGGAAGGCACACACACTTTTCTTTTGTGCTGGGGTGGTAGGGAGAGAATAAATCTGTTGACTGCTGGTCAGTGATATAGAAAAATAGACATTAGGGTAAAAGGAAAAACTGCAAGTAAAGAAAGCTGTGCTTCCAAAATAATATTAGCAGTTTTCTGAGTAGCTGAGGAAACAGTCTCCTCAAATTATAGTCACACTTGTTACAGACCATCTGCCCATAAATTCCACAGGACAAGGGGAGATGGAGAGGAGAAGGGAGTTGAGGGAAATTGGAAGGGGAGGTGAACCATGAGAGACTATGGACTCTGAAAAACAATCTGAGGGTTTTGAAGGGGTGGGGGATGGGAGGTTGGGGGAACCAGGTGGTGGGTATTAGAGAGGGCATGGATTGCATGGAGCACTGGGTGTGGTGCAAAAACAATGAATACTGTTACGCTGAAAAGAAAAAAAAAAATCTTATGTGAAAATAAGAAAAAAAAAAATCCACAGCATCATTAATGGAAAACAAATGGCACTATATTATCTTTCCTTTATCCACTGGCCATTCTCATATAAATTATTTTTCTCTTCAAAGTCATGTTCTTTCCTGTATGTTTACATTAGGATCTTGGAAGAGTGACACATAATGAGCCATGCCTGGGTACATTTACAGTGATGGCTCTGTAAGGAGCACTGGATTATTAAGAGGCTATACATTGTTGAAATTGTTTTAGGTTGAGTTCCCTTAAATCAGAACCTGAGAAAAGAATTTGAATGCAAACTGTTTATCTGGGAGGTAGTCCCAGGAAACTCTGAAGTGGAGTAGAAACTGAGAATACAGGCATAGAAGAAGGCAAACAGTGGTGCCTTACTGAAGAGATTACTCCGGGGGGGTCTACTGTCCTTCAAGGGAGTTCTGTGAGATATAGAGCATGACTCAGAGTTATCCCAGTAATGGGTGAGAAACTTGAAGTACTTCTCTTCCAAACCCCCTCTATCATGGTTGAAAGTCACACCCAGATACATTAACTCTTGGACACTTCTGGCCAGCTCTAAGGTAGATAATTACAGGTAACAGCATGATTTTATCAGTATATACATAATAATGATGAGTGCTGAGGGAGATAGGACAGGAGCACTGACAGCATCTGATAAGGGGGGTGGGTAGGTATTAATGACTAGCTCGCAAGTCCAAGTGGAAAAAAAAAAGTCCTTGGGTTAATGGTTTGACTTTGGGGAATTTAAACACTGATGTATCAATAACAATTTTCTTTATTAAATCTTTATTAAGTCTAAGATACTAATGATGTGGGAAACAAAGGCAGAAGAAAAAATATTAAATTTCCTTACCACCTACAGCCATTGACAAGTCCTTGAAAAAGGCAGAGTGACATTCTTCTCAACTGCCTAATTTTTGAGACTTTGCTAAGGGCAAAAGGCAATACTGGCCCGACTCCCAGCCTGCCCCCAAGATCCTATAAGCTTACTTTAACATATATAAATTCTTTTGGAAACTTCCTTTAACTCTACCCTCCCCCATTCAAGATACATGTTGGCAATCATCCCCCAAGCATATGGCCCATCGATACACATCTGAAGGGTCTCATGACTCAGGTTTTATTAGACATTAATAAATGACCTTTTCCCAACAATAGCTAGCTCCCTCAAGGTGCTGGAAACCTTGCTTCCAAAATTTCTTAGAGACTTATGCCTAGCCCCTCCCAACTTGAAAGTACATAATGGGGCACTCCTCATGACCCCAGTGCAACACTTTTTGTCCGCGGTGCTCTCCCCATGCTTTAGATGGGAATCCATTGAAAGACTTTTTTTTTTTTTTTTTAAGATTTTAAGTAATCTTTACAGCCACCATGGGGTTCCAACTCGCAACCCTGAGATCAAGGGTCTAAATGCTTTATCACCTGAGTCAGCCAGCCCCCCCCCCCCACCCCTGCCCAAGGATTTTAACTGGAAAGTTAAAGTTAGAAGAAAGAGAAAAGTTGATTCAAATAACATGATCAGTTGTTTTTGTAAGAAAAATTTGCTTGTTTGTTTCAGTTTTAGAAAGATCACTCTGGAAACACTGTGGCTGGAATGCTGGGGAAGGGTGATGGCAATTCTGGATATAGAAAGATTAATTAGCAGTCCATTAATATAAGTCAAACAAGAAAGAAAATATAAAATTTGTGGATTTGTGACTGACAGTTCTTTCAGTACTTGAAAAATGTTATGCCAATGTCCAGGCTCCAAGTTTCAGATTAGAAATATGTTGCCATTGGAACTGGTGTTTCTCTATAAGTAATATATTGCTTCTCCTTGTCTGCTTTCAAGATTTTTTTGTCTTTATTTTTTATAAGTTTAATTATGATGTGTTTTGGCATGGATATCTTAGTTTACCCTCTTTGGAATTTCTCAGGTTCTTAAATCTGCAAATTTATGTTTTTTAAAAATTTGGGGACTTTTTAGTCACTCTTTTTGAATACTCTTTCAGTCTTGTTTCTTTTCATTCTGGGACTTTGGTGATATGAATGTTAGCTCCTTTGTTATTGTTCCACAGAATCTTGAGATCCTTTTCCTTCATCACCTCCATCTTCCAGTCTATTTTTCGGATTTGATGAAATCTATTGATCTATTCTCAAGTTCATGATTCTATGCTTTGTCATCTCCACTCTACTCTTGAGCCAGTCTAATGAGATTTTTATTGTGGTAATTATTTTTTCTGTTCTATCTATTTTCATTTATTTTTATTGTTTTAACTTCTAGTTCTTTGCTTACATATTCTATTTTCCCCCATTTATTTCAAGGAGTATGTAATTGCTTATTGAAGCATTTATAGGATAGCTTAAAATCCTTGTTAGATAATTTTAACATCTGATTTATCTTGGTGTTGGTGCATGTTGTTGGTCTTTTCTCATTCATTTTGTGATTTCCTGGTTCTTGGGATGATGATTAATTTTCAATTATATCTTAATATTTTGAGTATTACATGGCTCTGAATGCTATTTAATCTTATTATTATTTTAAGCAATAAGACCCCTGTATTGAGATGTGACATGAGGACTGGAGATGGAAATAAGTATATACAGCTTTCCACTGGGCCCTATTGACAATATCCCAGCAAAAGTGGGGACTCACATTGTTTAATTGCAGACAGATGGAATAGAAATTCAGGTCTCCTCTTGCCCTGCTAATACCTGCCCCTTTTCAAAGTGGGACTATTCATATCATCTTGCTGCCTTTAAGTGGGACTGGATGTTCAGCTCCCTAGCAGGTTCCCTGACATTAGGGGAGGTGGAAGTGAAGTGTTAACTGTCCTTCTTCACACCATCTCATTTCATTTTGTTGATGCTGGTTGTGGGTAGAGGCTCAGTTCTCTTACTGACGCCAGGGTAGGGTGGGAAGAAGAGAACTGCCAATTAGCCCTGCTTTGTGCTACCTCATTTTATTTTGTTGCTTTAGGATAGATATAGGTATTCAGCACCCTACTGGGTCTCACTGACACCAGGCATCGGGGAAAGCAGAGTGCTTACTATCTCCAATTTGCAACATTCTGTTATTGATTTCAAGTAGAGGCGGAGGCTAAGCTCCCAATTTGGACCCTAAGACTATGTGAGGGCAGTTCAGTGTTAATTAGCCCTATCTTATGTTTCTTTGCTGAGGAATAGGTGTGGAGGCTCAGCTCACTGATGGACCACACTGAAATAACCTTCACAGAAGAATCAGAGTGCTGCCTGCTTTTGAAGTGAGATGGTGTGGAAGATCAGTTCTTCACTTGGTCCCACTGAAACCGGGGAGTATAGGTGGTAGGTGAAATTTTTCCATTGCATTTTGGCTTGAGCACAATATGTATTGCCAAAATGGTTTTCTTTTGTTAGCAACCCTTTTCCTCATACTTTGGCTGAGGAAACCAGATTTTCCTTGAAGCTTTGTCTCTTGTTTTTTTGGTGGTTATGGATTGGAGGAGGTTCCTGCAGTGCACTGTGCAGGATAAATGAGAAGCAGTAGGAAACAGGACGTCATCACCATATTATTCCTCAAGTCGCAAGGTCCTTAGTAAGTCCACCTTCTTATTTCCATCTTTCAGTGTCTTCCTACTCTTGTTTGTTATGTTATGTTCAAGGTTTTAAGTTTTAAGGCAGTTTTAAGTATAAGGAGAAGGGAGAAATGAACTACTCTATCTTGTGGGGAGCAGATGTCTGGTAGTCTACAGGTGTAAGAAGGGCAAATTTTCACACTTTTAATGGAGCCTGGATGGCTCAATTGCTTAAGTGTCCAACTCTTGATTTTGACTCAGGTCATGATCTCAGGGTCATAGGATTGAGACCTGCATCAGGTGCCATGCTCAGCAGGGAGTCTGCTTAAGATTCTCTCTCCCTCTCCCTCTGCACCCTCACTCCCACTTGCTCTCTATCTCTAAAAATAAATAAATAAATATATATTTTTTAAAGTACTGATTTTTACACT